TATACAGCAGGTTACAGCACAGTATTACATTACGAAGGCTGTAAATGGAAATATTAGTATTAGGATGGCAATACCTTGGACTAACGCTAAGAAAATCAATCCTGTTGTTTTTCAAAGCCCAGGAAAAATTATGTGCTATCTTCTTGAGGACTATACATCCTGAATAAACATTACAGCAATATCACACCAACATTATATTAAGCAACTAATTTTCTAATTTCTTCAGGTTTTGGTTGTTGTTTTTTTTAAACAGGTCAATTATGAAATTTTGGGTTCCTGTAAATGCAGTAAGTCCACTGCACTTAACAGACAGTAACTCTGACTGTGTATAATCAGTGTCATACTGTGTACTGAATGTAGTAGTATTCTATATACAATTTTCCATTTAAAATTTTTTTTAAAGTTGTATTTAAGAATTACTTAACAACAGCATTTGTGTGGTAGCAAAGCACCTTAAGTTCCCACTATACATAGCTTTACATGGTTTTGGCAAATATTGCTGGAAGAAAATAATGTATAAAGCTGTTGTTGATGTGTCCAGATTCAGCAGTAATTAAGCACATGATCATGCACTTTGACGAACATGAGGGCCATCCCCTTAGGGAAGTGATAACTTCGCTCCCACAGAGTGAGAGGTGATATAGGCAGCTTTCCATGTAGAAATTCTGTGTCAGTGCAGTTTGTTCTTTCTTCCTACACAAAAACGCCATTAAAAAATTAGGAAAGACACCTCTGAAATTCAGTATCAGCAGCATAAAAGACATGAAACTGGTTTATAATCAATGCGCTTAGCCTGTTCTTACTGTTGTGGAGGTGAAGCTTCGGATAATATAATTAAGGTTGGAGTTTGTAAATATTTTTCCGAGAAATCTGTTGGGAGATGAGGATCTATCCAGCAGAGTCTAAAACTTCCATAGTCTTATGGGTCTTGCTACAATCATGTTACTTTTGCTTGAATGATACAGAAGAGGACAAATGGAAGATCTCTTTTGAGTTCTGTGAGTATTATATCTAGGCATCTTGGAAAGAAAAGATCTCCTTCTGGCAGATTAACTCTTAAAGTACACTGGAAAAATCTCCTTCTATCAAGATGTACCTTTAATGAATCATTAAAGTAAGATCATGTATCCTATAACTTACACTAGCGCTTCAATAAGATTAGATATACGAGCAAAGGCACTTTTTACTGTGTCTATATGAAGATGTTTTTCTGATGTATAAACTTCATAAAACATCCCATGAGGGCATAATGCATGAAGTACAGACCAGACCTCACACTACGAGTAGTAGGCTTAATCTGTAAAAAAGTTTCTTCCATAGGTAATATGAAAACAACTTTGAAGAAGAGTTAAAATGAACCCAAAAATATCTAATCAGTTCCCTCAATCAAGACACCCTCTTACTTGGTTAAATTTTGCTTGGAAAAAGCAATCAAAAGAAGCAGCCCAGTTTTTGCTCCAATTTAATTCAGAGTCCTGCCTAACTCAGCCATGATCTGCATATGAAAAATTTAACACTCAAGTGTTAGTTTATTACAAATAGAGTTGTTTGGAAAGGCTGTGTGCAACAATACAAAACCTGGGTGTGTTTTGAGCCTGTATTTTATTGGTTAGATAATAGTCAGGGTTCAAAAAGTTGCAGTGTATACCCAAATATCAGTATGAGCAGCATTCCTTTGCAGTGCTGCCTTTGCAGGTTTTCTCCAATATATTAAATTAATAAATAAATAAATCTTATAATCCCAGGTATATCACCATTAACCTGTCATGAGCAACTTTCAATCTAACATTTACTGTGATAGATACAAGACTTTTCTGGTACACACTGATGACACAACTCATGATTATTTTGGGATGTAGTTATACCTTAAACACTGCAGTATTTATGCATTGCCTCCCTTTTTAATACTTTGGGTTTTAAAAAAAACAAAATGCACCTAAAGTAACTAATTCAGTGAATCTCAGTCACAGATAAATTTTGGTTCATTTAAGTCCAAATCAGACATTTCATTTTATGTTCATGCTAATGAAATTCCGATAAACTACCCTGGCTGCAGGCCCATTGACTTCTGGCTGAAGAGTACACACAGCTGGATGCCTGTAAATCAGGCAGGACACAATTTCTGCATATAGGTTAATGACTGTTCTGCGTCACCCACATATAAGAGTACAGACACTAAGCCAGAGATCTCAAAACAGCATTTCACCTGCCTGGCAACTTTCTCATAAAAAGAAAGCTTATTTTCCTGTCTGTATCACATTACATGATGAGAAGCAAGAGGGATAGAGGGAAAATTATACCCCTATTGATGTAAAGTGACTTAGGCTACATATTCCCTTTGAGCCACCACAGATCCATGCTGACACCAAAAGAATCAGTTCCATCTTCTCCTTCTCATTTCTCACTGCCACCATTATGCAGGCAGTAGGATTTGTACATACATAACACTGTCATGGTTTAATCCCAGCCAGCAAATAAGCACCATGCAGCCGCTTGCTCGCTCCCACCCCAGTGGGATGGGGAGAAGAATCAAAAAAAAAAAAAGAAAAACTTGTGGGTTGAGATAAGAGCAATTTATTAAGTAAAGTAAAATAAAATAGCATAATAATAATAACAACAACAACAAAGAATATAATAAAATAAAATTAAAAATAAAACCCAAGAAAGACAAGTGATGCACAATGCAATTGCTCACCACCCACTGACCGATGCCCGAGCAGCGATCTGCGCCTCCTGACCAACTGCCCCCGGTTTATATAGTAAGCATGACGTCCTATGGTATGGAATAATCCTTTTGGCTAGTTCAGGTCAGCTGTCCTGGCCATGCTCCCTCCCAGGTTCTTGCATACCTGCTTGCTGGCAGAGCATGGGAAACTGAAAAATCTTTAACTTAGGATAAGCGCTGCTTAGCAACAACTAAAACATCAGTGTGTTATCAACATTATTCTCATACTAAATCCAAAACACACTGTACCAGCCACTAAGAAGAAAATTAGCTCTACCTCAGCCAAATCAGGACAAACGCGAACTGAGTAAATCATCTAGCAAGCTGCTTTGCTAAATATGTTGCATTCTTGCAGATTAAGATGCTTTGTTATCAGATACTGATTAGCCTTGAAGATGAAGGCTATAGCCGTATAAAATGTATGTTTCATTCTATAAACAAAATGCATTCAAATTATTCTTTTTGACTTGGTAAGTGTAGTTTTAAATCTCATTCTGCTTATTTTCACCTAAAAATCTAACACTAAGAAAGCCTTATCTGCATAACTGCCTTTAGTGTAATAAATAAGGCCACCTTAAAGATCACTGGCAGCAAAAGGGAAGTAGCACGGAAGGCAGAAAGACCCACTTGACAATAACAGATACAAAGCTGAATGATAACGATAGCACAACGATTGCTTGACACTTAATTCAACAGTTTGGGGAAAGTTAGCCACGAAACAGAAGTTTTCAAGTTTAAGAAAACAATGGACAAATCACACTGTTGCAGCTATTCATGTTAAAGCTTCACTAAGGCAATGGTCAGCAGTTACTTTGCTTTTGTAGTGGCTAAAAAAATGTTATGAGCATTTTCACAAAAATGTATTTTCGGGTCATGCTCCCAAAAAAAGGGAAACTTTGAGCAACTGGTAATGAATTCCACTTCGCGATATAAAATTCTTGAAGATGAAATGTTATCCAAAGCATTCACTCAGTTTTAGCATCACGAACCTTGACCCAGACTATAAACTGTATTTCAAACAAGCAATGATTTCTTATAGGGATTTCAAACACCTTAGAGAAAAATCATCATTTTCACAGGAACATAGCACTTTAAAATAAGTAGTATTTGTTTCTGGTAACATCAAAGTGTTTTTTCTCTTCTGTCTACAAAAAGCATTATCAGGACTTATTTACTTGATTCATAACACTTTTTCTGATTGCATCTGTGGATTATAACGATAGCCATCCTGCAGTGCTGCAGTTTGTAAACCACAAAAAGTAGTAAACAGGTGGTCTATTGCTACATACTTTTACACTTCCATTAGGTAACGTCTTTACACCAACAAAAATGTACTAGCACCTTAGTATCAGATATATAGTCATCATCACCAAAAATCTGGTTCGATATAGCCTTTTCTGTCCCTTGCCCACCATTTCCTTTTTCTATAATGGTGCAGAAAACACTCAGTTATCTTCTCGGAAGTAGCAATAGCCCCTCTATTTAAAATGGGAATTATCACCAGAATTTAAACCCCAAGCACCTTTAGAAGTCAGCTGCAGAGCAACGCACATGCAGAGTAAAATCACTGTTTCTTTCCTCACCTTCTTGGTAATCTCCTCTTTTGCATTTTACCTGGTATATTCCAAATCATTGTTAGAATTCCATGATTCTTATATATGCACACAATCTCACAAAATTTAAGATCAATACAAAATTTATAATCATTGTCAAACCAGGCCAAGTCATAAGGAACAGTTTTCTGGCTCTAGTAAGTGAGGGATTATACCTAAAGCAACCCACAGAAATACCTTCAGAATTCAACACGCTGCTTTATAATCTCTGTGTCAATGTTCGTATCTAAAATTGACTTAATACATGCTGCAAGTAGGAACTTTTGAGATGGTATATCCAATATTTTACTGAGGTTTACATTCTGCACATACTGCATAATTTAAATTCTAAACTTACCAATTTTAGATCCAAGACCAAATTATGTTCTCAAAACATACACTAATATAATAGATATTATGGGTTGGTGGAACAGTATTTGCAACTCAAAATGGGTAAACTGAACCTACAAAACAAATAACAATATATTCCAAAATAGAAATGCCAGAAGGCTGAAAATATTTTTAAAAATTGTTAACCTCTTTTGCCTTTCAAAAAGTGGTGCAACCTAGACATAAAAATTATAACAGTCAAGTTTTACCAAAACTAGGTTTCCTCTTTAAATCTAAAAATAAGAACTAAGCTGTTCAAAGTTAAATATTAATTGCAAATAAAAAGGACTTACCTTCCTGTCTGTTATTTTTCCTTTTTAGCCATTTTTCCACAGTTTCCGCACTTACGCTTTCTGACACAAACTCATCCAGTACCTGGGGGTGAAGAGAAAGATAGGCCTTCACTTTTTCATCCGTTAAACCTGAAAGAGAGAATATTAATTGATTACATTATTGGTATGAAATTCCTTGTATGAAACAACACCTAGATGCCAGCAATAATCAATATTCTTTTGTCTAACACGCTGATTGAATAGAGGCCTATTTAAATAGTCTCCTCCCAGACAGAACAACATCCAGTCTAAAAAGTGAGCTGTCATATAGAAAATAGTAGAAGCAAAGCATATCCATGCAAGATACTACCTACGAAAAGTCCCCTACAGGAGTACACGTAAACATTACCTGGGAGAAATGGCCAGGAAGGAAATTATGACTGTGATTATGACTCTAAAATTACTTATTTCCAAGATATGCAAGATGATACATTGACAAAGGAACAGGGTGGAAGGAGATAGAAAAAAAGAGAACTGGTGTTTCTTGTAGAGCATCAAATTCAGTATTCTCACTGCAAGTGGCAGCAAAAGCATCAAAAACTATTACGCAACACCAAAATCACATCCACGTTTCCATTGCCTTAGTAATTCGGTTATCAAAATAAAAGTAATTGTAGACAAAAGGCCTTTACAACATCTGCAATAAAAAGAAAACTCGGGCGCACATTTCAGGGGAAAAAAAGGCAAAATTCAGAATCTCAGATCCCTGACACAATCATAAAGAGATTCCCAAATTCACATAAATACAATCTGATCATACCCTTCACAAATCCCCCGAACAAACCCCACTGGCCACAGGGAGGTGAACCCCAGCGGGATGAGCCTTTCCGAGGGAGGGCAGGACAGGAGCGCGCCCGTCCCCAGGGACTCAGCTCCGGGCTGCCACAAAGGGAGCATAAAAGCCTTAATGAGATCTGAGGGGAAGAGAAGTAACAACCACTGTAATGGCTCTAAATACGCCTTCTCCTCTTGTGTTGTGCGTATATAAATGTAATTGTGAATTCTCCACAGCAAGCAGCCTAGGTTCAGCAGAAGAGAAACTCCCCTCCGAACAACGCTGACCTCTTTCGGAGCGTATTCACGCTATAAAATAAGATCAATTTTTCCTCTTTTATGCTTCACACAGTATCAGAACATGCTGAAAACAGCTATAGGGTAATTTAAATGCTAGTCAACGACTGTAACCTTTAAAATGTCTTACAAATGTTTCCTATGAAAGCCTTCAGGAAGCAATACCAGAACACAAACCAACAACTCCCGCCTGCGGAGCGCCAGCCACACGTGCCACTCTCCCCACACCATTCCCACCACAGCACTCCCCATCACCCCAAACCTGGTCTGAAATACCCTTTTCTTCTTAATCCATGCAGGCAGCAGTTCCTGGTGGATATCATAGCCTCAACTAACAATGCTCCCACTTACAGGCAAGAATGTCCAGATCTGGATCACTTGAATTAAGAGAGCTAAGTGAGCGACCCGATTTTCATTAGTAAAGAAGAAAAGGTTCTTCCTAAATCAGTAACAGCAGGAGGTGACCAGCAAGTGGGGGGAAAACAAAGAAAACCCCACTACTTTGATTGTTTAACCTTAGGCAATAGTTTGTAAATTTAGATCATAACGCACCTATAAAGAAGAACGTGTGCCATATGAATGAAAAGATTTTTCAGCCAATACAGGTATCACCTCACATACTGACAAATCAGACTAGTTAATAAAATTTTGTAATTTGCTTAACTAAGAAAAATGTAATACCTTGAAAAAATAAGTCTTTCTAATTTCATAGTAATAGAATTTGAAAAGAAAACGTGTTTGGAGAATCATTCATAAAGACTATAGCATTTTGAAGATTTACCAGAGTTAACCATCAGAAAGTCAAAAAAATTTATCTGCCTTTTAAGTTCTGGATGAAAAATGATCCATACAGGTTTGTCACAAAATGCCTGCTACTTCCCAGTTGTCTTTAGACTGCAAACACTTTTTGCTTCTAGTAAGAAATTAGGAACTGAAAAGTTTGTAAAATAAGCAACTGAAATTCTACAAGGGTTGATTTGTGTTTTCAGTGAAAATAACCTCAACTTTCTTATGCGTGCAGTCTGTATTCCTTGACTTCAATGGAAATACTTCCTCGATTCAAAACTTTATGGGTGGTGGGTTTTAATATACACATCAAAATTCAATGAAATGTCAATTTGAAATAAGACTTCAGTCTACATGTCACAAGTTTAATTTCCATTCCAGATATCCGCAATTTCAGCAACCTGGGGGTGAAAACTCTGCTTTAACCTTATACAAAAAACTGATTCATGGAGCTGACAGAAGAAATCCTACAACAGTCTTTAAATTATCCTCCTTTATTTCACTAATGGCATCTGTGCAGAAGTGCTGCTTCAATGTCAGATTTGTAGATGGGCGCGCAAGCAGAACAGGATTTACAACTACATTTGCAGAGTTAAAAAGGAGTAACTTAAATCTATTTTCTACATAGATTAAAGAAGGCTTATTAGTCCTCCTAATTGTTAAGTCTACTGTGTCGAAAAATGGATGCTACAATCATACACACAAAACCCACAGCCAAAACCAGCAAGAACGCATTGTAACTTCACAAAACATAACATTAATGGAAAGTAGCCTTTTAGAAGAAGCTTAAAGGTTTTGTGCTTTATGTATATCAAGGCAAAAGAGTGTTGTAAAGAAGCTTGAATGTGAGAGCATTTTACAGCTGTGCATAAACAATTATTTTATGGCATATATAAAGCCTTCTACTTTGTAAGATGTACATAAGAATAAGATTTTTACGTAAGAATATGCATAGGTTCAATGATGGACACACTTGCTGTCCTGAATATGCACATGTTCCTGAAAACACCTAGTACGTATATTTTTGTTAAATATTATCAACATCTCTATTGAACTGTTGTAATCTTTAATTCTGAAATATGCAAAAAAATTATTTGAAAATTCAGAGACAATGATTAATAACATTTGAATAAACAGGACAATAATACTGACACCCAAACTCAGGAACTAAAAGTTTGTCGTGCCAATCAGATATCATTTACAGAATTAGAAACAAACAAACAAAACACAAGCCAATGCTGGTTGTTAATTCTTCTATTACTAATGTATTGGTCTTAAGTATTTAGGGCAGTAAACTTTTCTACATGTATTCACATTAGAAATATTTCTCCACTACTCCTTTCTTCTCCCCTTACTATGGGACCTGTAGACTAGCAGACAGAGTAGTCTATGTCTACTAATTCTACAGCACTCTCTACACAACAGGGAGCTTCCCATCACCTCCAGTGATGCCAGGACTTCTCTCATTCTTGTTCATCAGTTCTTGCGTGGAGCATAAAGTATATACATCAACAGTGTCTACCAAAGGAAAAGGTAGCGGCGCACACATTCGTAACTGTGACGGCCTATAGGCTTTCTTGCAAGTAGCCCAAACAAAAGCTCCCCCCGCTTCTTTTCATGCATCCCCAGAAAGCATTGCCTCTTCCATCTGGAACCTGTCTGTCCTCCGACAGAGCTGTGACAGTTATCAAGAGGGAGCATTACCTGGGAGGGCTGAATTCTGGCCAACAGCCTAGCATGCAGCAGGCCAGAAAGCACAGAAAGACTGCAACGACCCCAACTGTTCTGGGAATTAAAGGAGGAATCTGGCATTTGGGTTGAATGTCCATTCATTCCATTTATGTATTGGAGTTTGTCGTCCTGAGTCATACATATATCCTGTTTATTTAAAAACACACACACACCCCAAACCACCTTTCTCCCTTGTATTCTTATCATAAAGTGATAAACCCGTATTTCCATGCTGGTATCTTTCTGGTGCAATTTGTTATTGCCATGTTTTATGCACTCATTAACTATTTGTTCTGGACTTGGGATTATGTAATGAAAAAGATAATAAAAGTATCATGCAAAAGGACACATGTATCAGACAAGCTCTTCCTTTTTTCATTTCCCTCTGAACAAACCATAGGTAAAGAAACATCTCAGGCTGCCCACTAGTTCAGCAACTCCTCGCTTCCTGACCAGCACAGCCATTTAGGTTCTCTGTGTAGATCTCGCTTTGAAATGTTCTCTTTGGCCATGCTATCTGCTTTTAAAAGTTCATTTGTATGCACAGAAAACATTAATCAAGGTTGGTTTGGTTTCATTTTTTCCATTTCTTGGCTACCCCTGCCTGAACAGTAAGTGGAAACACAGCTTTTCAATAAATGCTGGGGTTTAAGCAAGTGTTTCACCTTATTGTGTATCTCTTTTATTGTAGGGTAGGATGATATAAAATTGGCAAAGCTCGATACAAAGCAGAGGGCAGAAGACAGCCTGTCCCCCCAACACCACCCAAGAGACAACTCCTTGATCAGTGAAAGGCCTTTTTACTGCCAGAGGGAACTATCTTTCTGGCAGGACATTCATTCTGGCACATTAGGAGTGGAAAGGTTGAATCAAATGATGGAAAAGAAACAATTGTATTTAGTTATAGTATTTCTATAAACTGATGTATTGGTGCACTCTACCAAATAAACAATAGCCCTAGTTTTCCATTTTACATATGCCTGAGGCTCGAGCTGTTCATCTAATCTGGCATAGCTCCTGCCAGCCTATCAAAATTTTGGTTTTGTGTTTTGGGGTTGAGGTTTGGGGTTTTTGGTGGTAGTGTTTGTGGGCGTTTTTTTAAATAACTCCTTGGCTTTCAATGAAGCATGTATGAGAGTGTTTTGGCGTTGGTGGGGGTTTTTTTCCCTATACAAACTACAAGAAATAGTTCCTTTTCCACTGAAATTAATAGCAGAAATATATATAGTTGAAGACAGAATTATGGGTGGATTTCTTTCCTTCCTTATTTTAGTAAACTAACTATAGAAAATACAAATATTGCTACCAAATATCACAGTCCAGTAATTTCAACATAAACTAGAAAGCCAAACGTTTGTGATAGTCTGGCTCAACAAATAACTATCTTTTCAGTGGTCCTATGATTAGTACTTAAAAAATTGGCTTTATTTCTCTAAGGGAAAAAAATAAACCTTTATCTGAAGATAATTTAGCAAGTTTAGTAAAACTATTTAAAGAGGAAT